AGAAAGGAGAGGAGAGATTGAGAGAGGCACTTCCAGAAGCTTCTTTAGAATAGAAAGCATGTTTCTTTCACAGAAGCCCCCAGGAAATGTCTCCTCCTTTCCCACTGGCTAAATTGAATCATGTGCCTCATCTTGAATCAAACATCCTGGCCGCTAATAAGAATAAAGCTTATTAGTTTTTAAACTGACCCATTTAATCTCATTACTACAACCGAAGTAGGCATTTCCCACCTTTAGAGTACAAATACACTCCCCAGAGATGTGAAGAAAAGCGGAAGTAGTTACCAGTGCATTTTATAGAGATTATACAAATGTCTCCAGTATCTCCCAACTTGTTTTCAATCCCTGAAACCAAAACATCATGCCATAGAAAAATAGATTAAAAAATACTACAAGTCACAAGCACCCAACGCTACTCCTTTCTTCAAGAGCAGCAAACACAAAGCACACATTTCACTTTTCAGTAATTATCCTTTCACATCCATGGACTTAATAGCTTTTCTGATCTCTTTTGGGGGAAGACAAAGACTACTAAGGCTGAAGATTTTTTAGCTGTAAGTGAAAGGACCAGGAAAAATGGACAAGAGGGTTTGGACCTAGAATCTAGATCAGTGATTTTAGAACTTTCAATGGTACGAAAACCTGCCGCAGCATGCATGCCATAGGTTCACCACCACTGACCTAGATACTTGGAAGAAAAGAGTCTTTGCTTCAGATCATACACATTTGATTAAAGATATAAGTTTAGTAAGAAACCCTTATTCTGCTAGTTCACTCATCTTCACAATCTCACTTGCCAACTTTAAAATCAAAAAGTGGGCTGGCAAATCTTGGAAGGATAAACAAACTACATTAACACAATGAGATTTCATTTAGCCCTAAAAAGAAATAAGATATGAAGACATGAAAATACAAGGAGGACACTTTAATGCATATTACTAAGTAAAAGTAGCCTATCCAAAAAGGTAATATACTGTGCAACCCCAATCACATAACATTCGGAGGCAGGTGAAACTATGGAAACAGTAAAGAGATCAGTGCTTCTCAGGCATTAGTGAGAGGGAGGAATGAATAGTCAGAGCATGGAGGACTTTTAGGGGAGTGAAAATACTCCCTAAGGTATTACAATGGTGGATACATGTCATTGTATATTTGTCAAATCCCAGACCTAAAGCACCAAGGTTGAACTCTAATGTGAACTATGGACTTTGAGTGATGTTGTATCAATGTAGGTTCACTAACTGTAATAAATGTATTACTCTGGTGGAGGTTGCTGACGGTGGGGTAGGCTGTGTATAAAAGGGTATGTGGGAACTCCCTGTACTTTCCACTCAATTTTGCTGTGAACCTAAAATACTTTTTTAAACTAAGGTCTTTTGAAAAAGGCAGGATGATATTTTAAAAGAACATAAAACTGAGAACTAGGAGTCATGAATTTGAATCCACACTGTTACTTACAAGCTGTACAAGCTTAAATTATTTTAACCTGTAAAATTATTCACTCACCTTTCAGATGAGGGTAAAACCCATCCATCATATTTACTATGAAGAAACAACTTAGGTATTTTTATAGAGTATATAACAGGTTCTCAAAAGAGTTGGTTGACAGCTAAGAGAGGAGGAGGAAACAACAGGATCTTACCTAGTCAAGTAATGGTGGAGGTGTTGTTATAACAAGATCTAGCAACAAATGATTTACAATGAGATAACCAGGGATTCTTTTTTCTCCTCTCTTCCACCCTACTTTAAACCTTGGTTTTAGTTAAACAAGTTGGTTCAAAGTCTATACTTTACTGAGAATTCCTTGGTTTTAAACTAATATCCCCTTCTGTTCCAGAATCTGATTCAGGATAACACATTACATTTAGCCGTCATATCTTCTGAGGCTCTTCTTGGCTGTGATAGTTTCTTGGCCTCCCCTTGCTTTCAGTGACCTTGACAGTTTTGAGGAGTAGTGGTCAGACATTTTGTGGGACCTCAGTTGTTTTATAACCTAACCTCTGAGGTGGGGTCTTACCACTCTGGGTATATACTATTTGTTAGAAGCAAGTACTATGTCTAGCCCACACTCAAAGGGAGATGAATCAAGCTCCATTACCTGAGAGGAGAAGTATCTAAGAATTTGTGGCCATGTATTAAAACCCTCAAAGTATGTTAAATCAGTACGTTAATGTAGATTCCTGGGCCCCACTCCCAGAGTGTCTGATGCCCTAGGGCTGCAGTGGGGGCCAACAGTTTGTGTTTGTAATAAGTTCCCACGTAATTCAGCTGCTGCTGGCCCAGGGATTTCACTTTGGGAGCCACTCGGAGTGGAGCCTGCACAAGACCCTGGTGTGTATAAGAAGTGGAAAGAGTTTAAGATGTATTTCGCTCAAGAGAGCTTCTCTTAGGCTAGGGGTATATGTAAGTAGGGTTTTTGTTTTTGTTTTTGAGATAGGGTCTCACTGTAGTTCAGGCTGGTCTTGAACTCACTATGTACCCAGGCTGGCTTGAAACTCACAGCAAACCTCCTTGCCTCAGGCTCTAGAGCGCTGGGATTACAGGCGTGTGCCACTATGCCTGGCATTGGTCAGTAGAGTTCTTAAAAAAAATCATTTAAGTATAATCACAGTTAAGTGATTGCCACCACTGCAATCAACCCACTGCCTTAGCTTCTGGACTTTGTCAACTATCATGAAACTATTACATAAAAATATATGTGTTGCTGTACAAAAGAGAAAAAAAACAATACCCTTTGTTTATATTAGATGTGATTTATTTCACTTGCCTGTCACAAATGCCAGGGAGAAAAATAAGCTGTCTCCATCTGACACTAAAGCAAATGGGATACAGAAAGGCTAGGTGACTTGTCCAAAGTTGCACAGTTAGTTAACTCTAGAACCAAGCTCGAGATGAGTCATTTATGTTCTGGATCAAAATATTTCCCATTATACCAGGCTTTTTCATACTCTAGGACTTTGCCAGGTTTTGGAGATGCATGAATAAAATTAGGCACATGAAAGTTCAAATAATCAAATCAGTGGAATAAATAGATTTAAAATAGCATTTTGTGCAGCAGAAATGGAAGGTGCAAAGAAATGATTTGTAAGCTCAGAAAGGTCAGCGGTACTATGTTGCAAAACCCTTCTTCTCCACCAGTGTCCAACTTTTTCCTGCCCACTGACTGTCAAAATATCTACCAATTACACCACACCTGCGGCAGAAACTGAGAAAGTCGCTAAAGGAGCCAGAGGCAGTGTTCTTTTTGTGTACCCAGGCACATCAAGTGGAGTGCTTGGCTCTGCTGGTAAAGCTGCCGGTTGGAAAGGTTGTCAGTATGTTTTTCTTAGTCTTTGATTAGCATGCGAAAGGCAGGATAGTTCACATACCACCATCAGGATGATCAAGTTGTACGTGAAAATCTGCAAGTGTGCGAAGACCATTGGGTAGTTTTTTAAGCATATGTGTTACTTTTCTTTAAGTGCCGAACCTAGAGACACAACTATGTTATGAAGCAAAGAAATGAGTAAATAAATACACAAAGAAGCCACAAAACTAAACAGCTGCATACTAATAATCTCATTCAAAAGAGATAAAATAGGGGTACACCGGGCCAGTTAGAAGAAAGGAGTACTTTCCTGTTACATTTTTACCTTCCCTTAAAGAACACTACATTTTGAGTTTGTGTTTAAATACTACCAAACATTAAGTCAAAGTTTGGTAGAAATGGTTACAACAAGCAGTATTTCGTGCATTCAGGTCAGGTAATAATGATTTGTTTTGCTTTTGTTTTGAGACAGGGTCTTGCTACGTAGTTCAGGCTGGTTTTGAACTCACTATGTAGCCCAGGTTGGCCTGGAATCTGTGGCAATCCGTCTGCATCAGCTTCCTGAGTTCTGGGATTACAGGCGTGTACCATGTCGCCCAGGGCTAATTATGATTTCGTACAGTGATCTGGGAGTTCAAATTCGCTGTCATGTAAAGAATAGTCAAAACAAGTATAAGCAGAGACTTGTGTTGTTGAGTGGTGGCAATAATGGCAAGAACGTGAAGCAGGACGGAGTCTTATGTTGGTGAGGGGAGTATGAAAGAAAGGGCCAGCGTCCTTCCATTTGATCCTTTGCACAAGGTAGTGCTGGAGGCATGAAACAATGATATAACAACTAATCATTACTGTCCAGCAGCATTGAGGGGGGAGTGTGGGAGTCCTGAAAGTGGTAGTGACCTAACAATAGATCCCATCCACTGGTAGTGATGGTGTGTGGGTGGGGTGCTTTGATTTAATGACTACTCTTGTCCAACGGTGTTGGCCCCAGTGGGAACGAGGGGTGGAGAGCCAAGAAACAGAGGAGTGGGGCTGGGGATTTAGCTCAGCCGCTCAGAGCCTGCCTGGCAAGCGCAAGGTCGTGAGTTCGATTCCCGGTACAGGAAAAAAACAAAACAAAACAAAACAAAACAAAACAGAGGAGTGACCTAACCATCCTGTCCAATGGTGTTGGGGGAGGGGAGTCGGGGTGGGTCGGGCGCCCGAGGCCAATAAACAATCAGCAAGATAACAATTCATGCTATCCAATAGCGGTGGAGGGCATGAAACAACCCAATATAAATATGACAAACAGCAGACGAAAATTGGTGTCAGAGATTCAAGGAGCACTCAGAATTGCTATAGTCAGCTGATCGAGGGAAGGCTTCCCAGAAGAGGCGCCTTGGGCTAAGAAATACTTTAAGCAGCTTGTAGGATTCTGTCTGGACGTGGGCTCCCTGGGTCTTCCCGGTGTCCTAGTACCTCAGCTAAGGAGGACCTTGCTGAGGGCGAACCTAGGAGCCGGAGCACTTGCTGAGCCAGGCAGAGTCTCAGGAACGAGGTAGGGAGGATCCGGTGTCTCAACAGAGTTAGGAAGCCCGGGCAGCAGCGGCAGCCAATCAGCGGCACGCGCGTCTGGCCGCGTGCCCCTCGCGCCCCTCGCACCCCTTGTGCGCTGTGTACGTGCAGCGGCTGGTCACGCCCCCTTGGGCGGGACCTAGAGAAGCGGTGAGCACCCGGCGTAGGGAGTGAGCTGCTGCTGCGGCGGCGCTGCTGCACCCGCGGCCCGAGGCCGAGAGTGAGGCCGACGTGCGCCCCGCGAACGTGTCGGATCGGAGCGACCCAGCTGCTGGGGCCCTTGCGGCCGTGCGGACGTTTCGGCGGGTCGGTGCGCTACTCCCGCGAGGATGCGGCTGTTCCTGTGGCTGCTGAAGCAGTCGGTGCCGAAGCAAATCGAGCGCTACTCGCGCTTCTCGCCGTCGCCGCTCTCCATCAAACAGTTCCTGGACTTTGGTGAGTGCGGGGCCGCGGGCCCCAGTGGCTCCCCGGTGCGAGACGCGCGGCCCGCCGCTCGGGGCTCCGCGGCCTCGGGGCAGGGGCCATGGGAACCGCTGGCGGAGCCGGGAGACGCCTAAGAGCTCTCTTCCTGGCTCGGATTTCGGGGTGCGGAGGGACAGGGCCTGACACCCTCACAGCAGCTGAGGGGAACCCAGAGACACAGAAACCGCGTCTGAGGAGCACCATGTCGGGCGGGACTTCCCCAGCCAGCCATCCCGAGCTTCAGATCTACTTGACACAAAACTTCCGAACGAAATGTGGGTGGCTTGTGAATGTTTTTATTTTTAGGTTTTTCTGATTGGGTAAGAGCTGTTTAGAAACACCTTGAGGTTGGGTAATTATGCAATGGCATTTTGCTCCTTTTCTATTCTAAGGTATTGCTGTGTAGCCGGCTTGACAGGACTCCAGCTGTAGTCACCTTGTTGCTTTACCTTAAAGCAATTAGAGGCCTGGACTGCAAACGCATTAGATGCCGGGAAAGAGAGGCTGTGTGGGCTGCTAGCGTCAGAGCAAGGTCTAGGACAACTTTAGCCTTGGTGGCAGCCTCTTGTTTTGCTCCTTTCCCTTGGCATCCCAGCCACTTTCCCTCCCGGGATGGCTGGTAGGCAGCTTGCACCAGCTGAGCTGGCCCAGAAGACCTGGGCTCCATACCTGCCTTAGTTTGGCCTAGCCGAGATGGGAATAGATTCCACCACTTTCTCTAACTAGATCGTGTTTCCCCAGAGGGGGCTTCGGTTGAATGCGGTTGTGAAACAAACACCTGAAAGTGAAACAAAAGTGTGCACTCGGGTATCAGAGTGCAACTCGGCATCCCTAAAGAAAAATAAAATGGGGCAGCAACGATGTGCTAAGCTCTCTGGGGAAAATAATGGGGCCTCTGTACCTTTAATGAATTTTATGTAAATGTCAAGGGATAGTGTCAGGAATAAAAATTAAAATGTAAAGTAGGTAGAACATTCCATGGAGACCTGATATGCAGAATGTGATGCTGTCCATACTTAAAAAAAAAAAAAACAGGATAGGAAGACAATTAAAGTTGAGACCAAATGAAAATTGTAGAAACCAGTTTGCGGGAGACGATGATCAAAGTCAAACTTCAGTGAGATGTTGATCTTCACATCTTAAACTTCATACCCCAATCCTTTTTGGTAGTTGAACTCTACCATCTCTGGCATAGAATTTTAGAAGTTTGAGGCAGATCCTTACTTCAGAGTTTAGGATGCAAATGCCACTGTTGCTATAAAAAAGGATATTTTCCATTTTGATTTATGGTTTAGAGCAGTGATGGTGAACCTTTTAGAGCTTTCAATGATAACAGACAGCCAGCTGCAGCACACATGCCATAGGTTCGCCACCCCTGGTTTAGAGATTCTGAAGGTATCAACCAACTGAGACAGGTTAATTCAGAAAAGAACAAAAGTAATCCAAAACTAAGCCCAAGTTCCTCCCACTCTCAACGTTTATGGAAGCTTTAATAGTGTAGCCCCTGTGTTTGGTTAATTCATTTCTATGGCTGCCAGCAGCATTTACCCATGGTAATAGGTGTCTTGGCTAGGATGTTGTTTGAGTATGGAAACCACACTAAACCGGTAGTGTTATCATGGAAAATCTGTAGGACCTATATCCGGAAGTAATGTTCTCATTCTGGTGCTGCCACTAACTCGTCTGGTCTTGGCAAAGTGACCAAACCTTACTGCGGTTCCTTTTTCTCATTTAATAAAATGTGGGGTTCTATCAGGTAATCTGAAAGCACAGCTTCAAAACCATGATTGTGATTTCAAAGGAAAGGGCATGAGCTTTTTAAAAGAACATTATCAAATCTTTTAACAGACCTTTCTCAAAGTCTTCTGACCTATTTTGGGAGGAGTAGAGGGCTTAACTAATCTAGGATCATGAGAGAAGCATAATAATTTAAGTCTTTTCCTTATAAGGGTGCACACAGAAGAGCTGTACATAATTATGGTGGAATTTGTTCGAAACTACAAGCCTTGTTTGCAACAGCCTGAAACAATTCAGGTGGCAAAGAGTCTATCTTTAATGACATGAAAACTAAAAGAAATGAGTTGTCCCATGAAGGCCATTGCTACTTCTACTTTTCTCCTAGTTCTCTCTTGATAGAAGTTTTGTTTTAGCAAATGATGGGGAATTTGAGCAATCAGAATGGATGGAGGGATTTTTTTTTAACATGAGGAGGGGGAGGAGTAAAGAGGCTATATGCCCTGTGTGATTGGAGGGCCAACTCAGGTGCTTAGGTGGATAGCAGCAGGTGTGTAAATGAAGCCAGCCACAGTGGCCTGTTGGGAAACCTGGTGCATGGATGGCTCCAGAGGCGGCAGCTAACTGGCATCAGTTCAGTGTGTTTTAGAAGATCTGTGGTGTAAACTGTTAAACTAGCTGGATGGACCACATTGACCTCCAGGATGCCTGTTTGTGAGCCTTATACCTTTCCACCTGGGTACTTTACAAATAAATGGGATATAAGTTTTAGCTAAAGTAACCGCAAAGGGACCAGAGTAGGGTTGGGCACAGTATTTGTTATAATCATGTCAACAAATAAATTGTAGTTTCTATGGCCACTGAAATAACTTTTGTATGCTAATATATCCCACATTAGTAAATAAGGAGATTATGTCTTGAGTTTAGGAGTGAATACTGAAACTGGGTATTACTTTAGAAGCAGTCATTTTATTATTTAAAATTTTTTGAATCATTGACTTTCAAGATTTATATGCTACTGGTCTTTTTTTGTTTGTTTGTTTTTGTTTTCCGGAACCAGGAATTGAATTCACGACCTTGCACTTGCCAGGCAGGTGCTGTGCCACTGAGCTAAATCCCCAGCCCCTCTACTGGTCTTTTTTAAGGCGTAAAAATTACAATTAAAGTGAAAAGCCCCCTTTAATCAGCAACCCTAATCCCAGTGTCTTTTTTTGGAGATAGGGTCTTGTTATGTAGTTGAGGCTGGCCTTAAACTCACTATGTAGCCCAGGCTGGCCTCAAACTCTTGGGGATTCTTTTGCCTCAGCCTCCCAAGTGCTGGGATTACAGGAGTGTGCTACCACACTTGGCTAGGAATGATTTTATTTTAAAGCAGCGGTTGGCAACCTCAGGACTCTGGAAGTTCTAGGCCATCTGATTATTGTGAGGGACTGTCTGTGCATTCTGGAAGGTTAAACTGCATCCCTGGCCTGTAACAGATGACAATAGTGTACCACCACCCCAAGTTTCCACAACCAAAAGTGTCTCCAAGACATTGCTAAATGTCTCTTGGGGAAGCAAAAAGTCTTCCTGGGGTCTTCTGTTGGGATTTTTTGTTGTTGTTGTTGTTGTTGTTGTTGTTTTTGTCTTTTTTTTGAGACAGGGTCTCACTATGCAGTTCAGGCTGGCCTTGAGCTCACTTTGTAGTCCAGGCTGGTCTTGAACTTGCAACAATCCTCCTGCCTCAGCCTCCCAAGTGCTGGGATTACAGGCATGTGCCACCACGCCCGGCTAAGCATGCTTTATTTGAAAGTATCGAGACTAGTGATTTTAGGCTAGGGCCTCATGCCCCAAATTTCTGATGTCAGCTGTCTGCGGTTGGGGTGCAGGGCATGGGTAATTAGATCGCTGGATCATTCTAAAGCATCATCAGGGTTAAATGTTACTGACTAGATAGATGCCCTTCTGTCTGACCCGTTGTCCCCTTTTATCTATGTGCAGTATTTCTCTAAGTCCCATAAAATAATAAACATTTCTTGAACTGGCTCTTTTTAGAAATATGGCCTGCCACTCAGCAAGTATAGCAAGAATAACAAATCTTCTAAATGGATTATTAGTTTTTAAAGGCAATACTCATTTCCAAGGGTGGATTTTTTTTTTTTTTTTTTTTTTTGAGACAGGGCCCCTGTATAGTTCAGGCTGACTTTCAACTCACTGTACGCTCCATATTGGTCTCGGACTCAGTGATCCTTCTGCCTCAGCCTCTTTAGGGCTGGGATTGTAGGCATGCACCGCCGTGCCCAAGTGGAATGTTTTTAAGTGGAATTTTAATTTTGACCTGAGATTATCATCATATGGTTCCAAAGTCAAAAAGATACAAAAGGTTAACTACTCTCTCCTTTTTTTTGCATAGATGGCTGCGTATACCTTTGTTTATATCTAGTTTTTAAAGCTTAATACGAGAGCTTTCCATGTCTGCACCTACACCATTTCCTTTTTCTTTTTTTATGACTTTTGAGAATTTTATTATACGAGTGTAGTATAATTAGCCAACTCTGTTGATGGCTAGTAGGTTATTTCCAGTCTTTGCTGTGACAACCAGTGCTACAGCGAATTATCGTGTGTCTTGTAAGTTCATGCATATCGGAATGTATATGTAGGACAGATTCCTAAACAAAGAATTGCTACATCAGCGGGAATGTGCATTTATAATTTTGATAAAACATTGTCAAATTGCTTTCTGTAAAGGTTGCCTGTTTATCTTCTCACTAGAAGTTTATGAGAGTGCGTATTTTCCTACACTTTCTCCGCATTTTTGTCAAACTTTTTATAGGTGAAAACATGATATCTAGGTAGAATTTTTTTCTCCTTGAGTAAACATTTTTATTTTAGCTTTTTATTATGGAAAGTTGTAAGCATATACAGAAGTAGAGAATAGTTTGATGAACTCCTGGGCATAATGATATCCATATTCTTTTTTTTGTTTGTTTGTTTTTCTCCGGTACCAGGAACCGAACTCACGACCTTGCGCTTGCCAGGCAGGCGCTTTGCCGCTGAGCTAAATCCCCAGCCCCTTGATATCCATATTCTGTGCTGTTTGTTTCTAGATGTGGTGTGTATGTGGAGGCTGTTATGTTTTCTTATCAAAGGAATGCTTGTTTCAGAAAGATAATTTTTTCTTTTTCTATGCTAACATCAACTTACTCTTTGAATTACTGTATATGTTCTTTAAAATTTGGTAGAACACCGCATGTAACTGC